ACGCCACAATTAAGCTCTATTTTAGATGAGCAACTGTCCCCGAGCCTTTATTGGCAGTTGGTCATTGTTACACCAGTATCCAGTATTTGTTCAGATTTAATTATAAGTACATATTCTTATTTTCATCTATCTCTGAGAGTACTTTGTATGTTTTATTATGTATAGTCTACATATGTTCAGATTTAATAGGAATAAGAAGCAGTAAAATGGTGTTTTATTGAAAAATGTAAATAATATCAAATATTGGATTGTTAATGTTAGAAAGCATTAAAACATGGTTGATCAAGCTTTCTAATTCATAAAATAACATTTCACACTATTAATATAATAAGCAGGATTCATTTTTTTCATTAAAACATTAATGTAAAACAACAACAATGGTTTAAACCAGGGTTAGGCAACCTTTCCCCTTTAAGGGCCGAGGGACTTCAGCTCCCAGAAGCCTCAGCCATGTTGGCCAATAGCTCCTGGGATTCTGGGAGCTGAAGTCCCTCGGCCCTTAAAGGGGAATGGTTGCTTACCCCTGGTTTAAACTGAGAAACTCGGGGGTTTTTGTTTTTTTAAATGGTTCCCCCCCCCAACTTTATTAGTCCTGTGTTTAAATTGTAAGACTAGTTGTGTATTACAACTTGTGTTCTAATTTACAGTTGCTACAGTGAAGACAGAAAATGTGGAAGAAAATGAAGAACCTTTTATTGCTCCTTTGGGACTGAATGTACCTTCTGATGTAGAATTGGTACGTTTTTATATATATGCGTATGTATGTGTACCTTTATGTGTGTGTAAACTCAGTGTTTTATCATTTTAAATGTTATTCTGGTCTTTCTGGGATTGTGTTTAATACAGATAAATTTAAGTAAACAGTTCTTAAAAATCACTTTGAAATGCTTCCTATAAATGTCCAAATTCCTGCTGTGTTGTGTTTGACTTTATTTGAAGTCAGTAGCTTTAGGCTACAACTATAGAATTCAGAGGCAGTATACGTTTTCCAGAACAGTCTGTCAAACTAATTCCACATCTTTTTTTGATCATGTCACTAGTTTAGTAGATGGTGGGGATGCTGTAGGAACGCAAAGTACTGAATCAGAGCTTGAAAAATAGCTCTTTTTTTTTAGCATGAAAGAGTAACTGTTCCAAGTTTTGGCCATAAACATGTGGTAATTGATCCACATAAAATACAAGAAGCAATCTTGCTACTTAGGTTTGCGGTTTCACATCTCAGCTTTAATATTTGAACAACAACAATAATGATAATAATAATATCTATATCTCGCCCCTCTGCAAATGCAATTGGGGCGGCTTACAACAATAAAACACCACATTATACAGCAGTGTTAATGATGAGAACAAGAGAGATTGGTGGTGATTGAGTTTGGGCAAGAACATAGATCAGTACCTATTGATGAAAGGAAAGCAGTTCTTCTCCAGTGCTTCTGGATTCTGAAAATGTGTGAATTCCTATGGCAAAATATTAAGAGCTACCTTCATTCTCATTTACATTGGGGTGAGGAACCCATGGCCCTCCATGTTGCTTGGCTGCAACTGA